GGAAATTCCCGGAGTGAACGGGAAATCAGGACGGGGCTCAGGATGGGGATTTCAACCCGTGTACCTCCGCCGCCCATTTTTTTTCCTTTTGCAGACCCCAAGTTGATTGTTTTGTTAGTGTATAATGTCATTCATAATTTATTGATAAAAGTAGATCTTAAAAAATTGGCTCTGTAAGTATAATTAGTTAATCAAAAATGTTTCATCTCCGGATTTCCTCGTATTGCACCGTATTCCCCCGGGCGGCATCCCCCGTCCAGTCCGGGGATTTTGCTGGCAGAGATGCTATTTTGTATGACAGAATCTCAACCGTATCTTTTATTCTGAGATAAATCGAAAAACTTGTCAAAATTATCCATTTTCACTTTTATATTATTTTGGGAAAAGGTAACATGCACAGATATTCGTCATCTGAACATTTAATTAAAGTGATTTAGAGAGGTTACCTATCATAGATAGTTTTCTAAAACAATCGTAGGCGTAGGGATATCAGACCTTTGTTGTGGACGTTCATTTTTCTCGAAAATGACTTTTGGTGTTTTGCATAGTTTATAACTATGGCCCACCTGTCTATCTTCATAAGAACAACGGTAGGATTGTGTCGTGGTGTCGTCTGGGGAAAGTGTGTAGCACGCCCCGCAGGCTTACGCACACGTGATTTTCGGGGAGAGGACGGGCGTGGCATGGCAGGGAAGAAATTAGAACCCAATATAAATGTCCAATAAAAAGTTACGAAGGTGAAGAAATTAGAACCCAATTTGAATGCCCAATAAAAAAGTTACGAGGGCAGGCTGGGTCGCGTACTCAAACCTTGGGAGAAGACACTGAAGGTAGCTTTAATATCGTCGCTAACCCCCACCTACCAGCGGCGACGCGTGCATGTAGGGGGGTGTGCCCAAACCTCGGGCGAGGTCACTGAGAGAAATTTCTTACGGGTATCACAAACACCAACTAGGAAAAATCTTAACAAAGTACAAAAGGTAGGGAGATTAGGCAAATCACCCTACTGAAAAGTTGTAAGTAAGCGGTAATTCCCGTGGGTAGTTCAAAAGGCCAAGTTTGCTTAGTTTGCTGATTTTAGCAGTTATGGAATGTGTTTGCCTTCGGAAAACCGTTCCGCATTCCAATGCCATCATAAAATCCCTGCTAAATCGATGGATGGCGCGTAGAAAACCAAAAGTTTACAGGTAATTCAACCTACTTAAAATTTTAAGTAGGTAGCTTTAATACACAAGGACCTTAAAACGACCGCTAGAGACAACCTCACCGTCTAATTTATAGTTTTTTTCACGCCTGCGAAGCTGTATAATTGCATCGAAAATTTGATTTTTCTAATCAAATAATTGATACTTTTATATTTATTTTAAATTAAAAATTCGCTTAAGGTTGTTCATTAGCATTTCAAAGTTTGCAAACATGCGTTATTGCCGGCTGACGAGTGAACGTTCGCAAATTTCTCCTTGTTGCACGAATTTCCGTCTACACGGCATAATGAAAACAGTGAGGACTATTTATTTAGCAAAACAGTAGTAATTGAAAAGGCCTGCGCAGTTTTACCAACGCAGATAATTATAGGGGTACAAAGATTCGGCCGGCTATACTCGACCTGTACACTCAACGTGGTATGGTCCGCATGGATTTGGAGGAAGGGTTGTCGAGCACCGGATCAATTTGTTTATTGTCCTGATCTTTGAATTCTTACAGGAGTCCATCCGCAGAGAAAAGAAACACCAACAAAAAGGGGCTACCTATAGTGGGTGTACGCCAATCAGCTGTCAGGGATCGTCAGGTCGTACGGAGAACGACACAACGATGAAAAAGGAGAGAAGAGGGGCAAGTTAGGGATATACGTTAATTAGCTGTCAGTGATGTGAACGGTCGCCCGGGCGTCAA